TGTGTGTGTGTGTGTGTCTTCATCCTATACGCCGTTGGACTCAGCTTCTTATTTCTTTTTACAACTTCAAGTCCTTGAGCCTCTAGAAATCAATTTCAACTTTTATTAAAGTTACTTCTCATCTTTTCCTCCTTTTCAAGCAAAATTTTAAGGAATATTACTAATCCGCCGTAGGGAAGAGGGGCAGAAACCACTGAAGCTGTAATATTGGACACTGTGGGAAGCAAAATGCTGTTTGGTCAAAGCACTGCACATTCAAGACATTATTACATAACATTTCGAATCTGCAGTATTTCGTTGTGCAGCATCTTCACACAGTAGTTTCTCTCTGAGTGATTCTCTGCCTGAGATATCATCAAAGTGCAGGTAATGTTTCTGATTTGTTCCGAGACGCTGCGTTGAGTCGTGTTGGGAGATCTAAGCTCACGCTTCCTGCACTGACTGCTTTGTGAATTGTGATACCTTCAAGCATTGAAGTCTGTTTCTGCAGTCTTCACATGGTCCGCGCTGCTTCTGTCCTTTAGATGAGATGTATTGGTTCATGATGAATAATTAGTAAATCTCAGTCCAGGTTGGCCGTTAAAACTGTTATATTATTGTTAGACATCATGCTTTTGCCTTTTATGCCATTTGATGATGAGAGAGCTGCTAAACTAATAAGACTGGCATTCAATAGAGTGGCACATTGCACACACTAATAAATATCAGTCCTCTGATATGTGTCAGATTCATCAACATCCATTAATGATTCCCTGGGAAATCAAAAACAACTTTATCTCCCAATATTGAAGAAAGTGATCAAAGAAATTCCCAGATCTGCCGCTTTGCTCCAGACATCCAGGTAGGTCTCAATTGACCCATGTCCTATCCTACCACCAAGTATTATGGAAATCTGTTATGTCATTTTTGCATAACCTAAATAGCATTCATGGGTATCATGCCTGACTTTTTAAATAAAGATCCATGAGTTATATTCTGAGAAATCAACAAAAATGTTGAAATGATCTCACAATGTATCCTCGACTGTTCCCTGCCCTTAACCCCTTCCTTCCACTGAGTTTCCTGATAATCTGTCCAGCAGTTGTTGTGTAATCCTGCTAACAGACAAACAAACGCAGCAGAAAACGCAACCTCCTTGGTGGAGGTGATACAGAACCAGATGTCCCGTGAACACTTGGTCTCATGCACTTTTATCCACTGTGAAAACTCTGCAAGAACAAGCTTAATAAATGACAAACAACACAATAAGTTTGAATGATGAAGCCAAAATGTGAGAGAGGAAACTTAGTGGACATATAATTCTACACGCAGCACACACGCAAAATGTAATCCTACGACATAACGCTCACTACACAGTACACATATCCACAAAAAACAGTACGTTGCTGCAAATTAGCACGTGCACCAGAGCTGTCACAAATAACAACACACCCGAGGACTGGAGGAAAACTCCACTGCCAAGGTTACTGGCAAATGGTCGCACGCCCACATCTTTGGACACACACGCTGTCGTCTGGAGATAGGGTTGGGCAGCCTTGGGTAAATCAATTACGAGGTTCAGTGTCAAGTTGAAGGCCAAGAGGAGGGCACCATAACAATATCCCAGCAACAGCCTGTGAATAGCCGCCACCACTAAATCAGCTCTGTGTGTATTTCTGATAGAGAGGACACCCATACAGCGGGCATAGGGGTCCTGAGAGGGGGACGAGCAGGACTGAGCAGATGTCCTTGTTTGTTTGGTGGGAGAAATACTGTCCCGTATGCTGTAAGAGGCACAACAACTTGACATTATTATGGCCTGTTGTGCTTATCAGGAGCACCAGACATAAGCCTGCTCTCCATCATCCTCTATCTCTCTCTGTTTCGTTGTCTCTGTGTCTCAGTTTCACTGTCTCTCCCTCTGTATTTATATCTCTTCTGTTTATGTCCCTTTTGTCCAGATGGAGTGCTGCAAAAACAACAGGCCTAAAAAACCTTCTATGGTTCTTTTTGACCTTTTCAAGTAAAAGTTTCCAGTTTCAACTATTCTTATTTGCTTTTTTTGTGTCCAATGTCCTGTTAAAAATAGAAACCACATTAAACCCAGTACTAACAGTGATGATTGCTGTTTGAATTTGGCTTTTCATTCCGCAGTTCTTTACTATCTTATATCTTATCCTACTATCCTATTTTATCCATTGTTCTGAATTTCTCTTTCTTTGTGTTAATTCACGTCCTCTTCACTTTTTTATTTGTTTTCCTTTCTTCCCTCTTTCACTCTTTCAGAATAAACTGTGCCGCTCTGTCATTCGGAGCTATCCATGGTGCTGACTTGTGCACTATTTTAGATATTGTCTTTTTCTTCACTTCAAGTTGTGTTTTCTATCCTTTCTTCCTCCCCTCCTTCTTTCCGTCTTTCCTAAACTAAGCCCTGTACTGAACTGCTGCACCTCTGAACCTTTTTTTTAACTGACTAGCATCTTGAAAATCTAAAAATACTTTTATTATTCTGTTCATTCTTTGACCTTATTTGTGTGTCCACTACTAATTATTTTATTGAGCACTGGATTATATTGGTAAGTGGAAGAACAGTCGAAACATTATAGAACATTATAGCAGTGTATTTTTGACATCACATCCTCATACAGCCAACTCTTTTCATAATTAGAGTAATTCACTTCGCCCTCATTAGCCTACTTTCTGACTTAGATAGAAAACCTTATTGTTTCATCCAGGTGAGATGTGAGCTGAGACAAAATGACAGATTAGTCCCACATGACTGTGCAGCTTCACAACCCGATGCAAATCTCCCAGTTGGAAGCATATATTCAAGCCTATTGATTTGTTTGCCAACTCTTTACTGCCGACGTGCGTGAGCAAGACCCCGAAAGCAAATTTTGTATCTTCGGGAAAAAAGAGATCAATTGGAAAGAAGTGACTGAGCCCTCATTACACAGGCTCTAGTGCCTGTGTGTAATTACAGCAGCTGATTTGTAGCAAGCACGATGCTGTAAATTCACGCTGAGATAATGGAAACAAGATGAAAAGAAAACAGCCAACTCCTTTTTTCTGTTAAATTATCCTCTAACAATCTGGTCATGATGTTTGAGGTCGTTGGTGTTCAACAGTGATTCTGTCTCTTCTGAAAACAAACAAGTGAATCTATATAACATATAAAATATATATGATCAAAACTGTTTGATGAGATCTGGCCGAGGATACAGAAAACAAATATCGCACAGGAACAAAATGCAAAACAAAATCTCCTCTTGTTTTTATTTGAGGATACT